TGCATAACATGTATGCATTTACTTATTACTCTATTCACAACAGAATAGAAATGCTAACAATTATCTAAATGTCAAGATACTTATATCAATTTCTAAGAGCAAAGTAAGAATAGGAGGGAAACAATCCCTTTATTCTTAAAGTGTTATAGTTGTATGTCTATGTCATACTTGATATATCACCTTTCATGTATCATGAAGGAAAATATGATTAAAGAAAAGGTATTATTACTTAAGTAATATGAGTGAAGTACACTTGAACAAAGCTGTCCATTTTGTAAGTGTTTGTTCTTTTGAAGTAAATAAAATAATTTTTAAAAACCAACATAGTTTTGCAAAGCAGTATATGTTTAGTCTTTTTTTTTTCTGTTTTAATCACTGTTTATTTAATTGATATCATTTTCCATTGTTAGCAAACATTGTGTATAATTAATATATTCCTAACATTGAAACACAGTCCAATCAATGTTGACAGTTTCTTTATGAAGTTGCAGGGTACACATATATTTCCTTCCTTTTACCAATTAGTTATCTAGATATGATATGAACATATGCTTAACTAAAATGTGTTTACACATTATAAATGTGTTTACAATTTATATAATTGTAAATTAAGAAGTATGAAAAATCAAAGTAGGAAAATAGTCTAGGAAAGTCCAGGAAATTTTTGGCAAAGATGAAGATTTGAGCATGAGAAGAGTTTTGTTTAGCTGGGTAATATTGGAATCTAGATTTTACTCAATAAACAAACAACTATACAGTGGTCATGCTTACTGATTAACCTCACTGAAAAACTATGTATTAGCTACAATTTCAGCTTTTTAAAAATTTATTTTAATTAAATAATGCACATTTGGGAACTTTGTTTATGGTTTCATTTACAAGGGGTAAATGCAAGGAAAAGCATCCACTGCTCGTGACTGTATGTTGCAGTTGAACATCTTTCCAGCTGACTTTAACTAGAGAAAGATTGTTGTGAGAGATTTTGTGCAGTTCATATTATTATACACCTTTGCATAATTAACTGTTTTATGGCAAGTACTGAATTCTGTGCACAGAGTGATTTTCTTATTTTAATGTTTGGAATGAGCCCAAACAGTCAATTACATTCTCTCCCTGTAGAAATTACTCTTTCAGCATCTTTGAATTAGGTTAATTAGAAAGGCAACAAACCCCTCTCACCACTGCCACCTCCACAACATATTTATAGACTAACACACTTGTGTTATAACTGCCTGTTCAAGAAGCAAACACAATTTTCAGGAAAATATTAAATATCCAATTATGACTTAAGTCCCTATAATATATAATGTATATGTGTATATGTGTGTGTTTAGTCCCTAGTAGAACCAAACATATGCTGGGGATGAGTAAAAGGTATTCATTCAAAAGATCACTATGAGTATGAATTTGTTGAATAAGATCCTTTTCTTGTCATGAAATCTAATTTTAGCTTCTTTGAGAAAAATCAAAACTGTCTAATGTTACTAAATGGAAAGAGTGAGTCACTCTCAAGTGAGCAGGCCTGGATGGCTCACCTATCAATCCCTGGATGGACTGCCATTCACCGGAGTCAAGGAGTTACCTTTATAATTTTCTCTACAGTGAGCATTTTCTCCCTTCCTTCTAACTTCCCAGAGTGGATATTTTGCATTCAAATCTTTTGAGCCCATGTAAATTCTCCAGACAGCTTGCCACACCTATCTTAGCTTTGTAGCATGAAATGTAGATTTGGTTTATAAAAACTTCTGGAACATAAAATAAGTCATTTTGCTTTAGTTTCAAACGCTTTCTCTTTTCTCTTCCAAGATGGAGTTAACAACATTAACAGCAATAATCATAATTCACATTTTTCAGGTTTTTTTTTTTTTTTTTTCTGTACCAAGGACTGAAATCAGTACTTCACATGCATTATCTCACTTCGTCCCCAGACCAACCTAACAGCCTCCTCTTTGAAGCAAATTACCTTATACACCTTGTAAGTAGGGGAATGGAGCTGGTATAAGGAGGCAGTCTTATTGATTCATAAGTTATTTTACAGTATATTTCTGTTTTTATATATTCTGGGCACAATTTTGTCATAGTTAAAAATAAATAGCTATGTAAGACGATCTTAATACAAAAGCTGAAAATCTACTGCAGCACCTTTATTTAATGCAACTAGGGTTTACATTGGTGGCTATGATTGATACTATGCTAATAAGGAAGAAGGTATGGGTACAGATGAAGAAGCTGTGAAATTATTTTTCCAAGTTTAAAACAGTAGATTAATGAAGAAAGCTTAAGTGCTGGATCAGATTTTTCAATTTCGTTGAAAAAAGTTTGTAGTTGGAAGCATTTTGTTGTTTAGTCACTAAATCGTGTCTGACTCTTTTGCAATCCCATGGACTACAGTTTACCAGGGTTTTCTGTCCACAGGATTTCCCAGGCAAGAATATTGGAGTGGGTTGCTAATTCCTTCTCCAGGGGATCTTCCTGACCCAGGGATCAAACCCCGGTCTCCTGCATTGGCAGGCAGATTCTCTATCACCAAGCCACCAAGAAGTCCATTTAGAAGCAAATGAATCTCAATAACTACTTCTTGAAGGAAGAAGCATAAACCCCAGTATTTAAGGCTGAAAGATTGACTATGGTGCTTGGAGAAAATATCATTAAATATTTAACCATGTTAGTATTTTTGTTGGGGTTGTTTTAGATTTTGTTAGTGTTTTCAATATTAGTGCACAATTTTTTTTCCAAGTACATGCATGAGGTGTCATAATAAAAAACTACCTCTTCTATTTTACCCATTTCGGTTTTGTAGAGGAGGGAAACTGAAGGTGAGTGGAGTTAAGTAATCTATCCACTTTCACATGGCTAGTATATGGTGAATCCAAGACTGGATTCTATCTCTGTCAGTTCCAAGCTCTCCTTTCTTCACCTCTATGATATGAGTGTCAAACTAAGTTAATTCCTTTCTTATGATTTTAACCATGCTTTATTATGCCCTCTCTTTGTGTCCCTCATAGCATATATGTATACTAGAGAAAGAACTGTTAATGCTCTATTATGTGTTGTTGAATCAAGGCATAAATGTTAATTTTTAATTGATGTAGTTTTTATACATTTATTTTTCTAGTCAGGAAATAGAATCCTATTTAATTTGTTAATTACATATTGAAAACACAGACTGAATAATTTTTCAAAGGTTAGTGATATGAAGCATTTGTAAAAGAGTATATACTCAGGCACAGAACATATTTGTAGACAAGAAAATGCCACCATTGTCTGATCTGTGCTTTTGACTATCTGTAGATTATATATTTGCCAGTTCAGTTTAGAAAAAAAAGACTGATCAGTTTCACTCATGTATTTAAATGTATGTGCACTAATATGTGCAAAAGTAAAAGTAAATAATATGCCATTTAGAAAAGTGTGTGTGTGTGTGTGTGTGTGTGTGTGTGTGTGTGTATTTAAATATTCAGTTCAATTCAGTTCAGTTCAGTCACTCAGTGGTGTCCAACTCTGCAACCCCATGGACTTCAGCACTCCAGGCTTCCCTGTCCATCACCAACTCCCAGAGCCTACTTAAACTCATGTCCATTGCATTGGTGATGCCATCCAACCATCTCATCCTCTGTCCCCTTTTCCTCCCACTTTCAATCTTTCCCAGCATCAGGGTCTTTTCCTATGAGTCAACTCTTCTCATCAGGTGGCCTAAGTATTGGAGTCTTTAAATATTATTTAGATATATCATTGTGAAAGAAGAATGGTACCTTTCAGCATTCCTTAGTGAAATAAAGCTCATTTGTAATAACACGATAAACATTATAGATTATTATTGTTATTATTACTATCATTAACTTTCTAAGAAAAATCTTCAAGAGACTCTCCCTTTTGTTTATAATTATGCAATGACATAACATTTAGGCCAATTTTGTGCCTTAAGGAAATGCAGCAAATACATTTTGTATTAGTGTTCTTTGAGCTAGATTCAAATTTATAGATTTTCTATGTATTCTCGTATACTATCCTAAAGCAGTGAATTCTCTAAATAAAGCCCATTTATTCAAATGTCCTTAGGAGGGTACATTTTTATTTGCATAGTCACAACTCTTCTTTATGCCGTAAGTTTAAAAAAATGGATCAGCTGAAAATGATTGCTATAAGTTATATTGCTTTATTGTTTGTCAAAGGGATCTGTTTGAGCTGTTTGAGGGTAAAAGGGGGTTTTGAATTGCATCAGTGCTGTTTGTGTTCAACTTATAAAATATATGAACTCTTTTACAAGAGTAGGAGAGACTAGAAATCTACTCTTTTATTCACCAAATGTCTAAAATTCAGCCCACTGAAAGAATAATAAGAAAGCAAGCATTGAAATGTGACATTAAAATAGTATGTTGTTCTAGCTGAGTACTCCAGATATGCCTTAAAGAAGAACAGCTTCTCTGTGTATCTGCACATTAGTTTTGTCTTTCACATTAAGATTTATGTTACATGGATTTGCTGTAAGATAAAAGAGAAAAGAAGTAGTTCTCACCACGGGAGTCTCTGCTACTTCTTTATCTCTTCCTTTTTCTTCCTTTCTCTTACTTTCAGGATATCTTTTTTCATATCAGAAGTCTTACTGAGTGAACTGAAGTATCAGCCTCTGTTATTATAGGCTTTTTCTTTTGTTCAGGATAAAATTCAGTGATAACTCCTGTGAGAAGTGATGGACAGGGAGGGGAACACACTGATGCTCTTAAAAAGAAACAAGAAATAGATGGTGAAACTCACCAAGTGTTTGAATCTCTGCGTTGCACCTCATCTTCTCAAAATATCACTTACAAATAGCATTAAAAGTTTTTTTTTTTTTTTTGCCTTTTTGAAACAGAGCATTTTCTATATCATGCCAGATAAAAAATTGAATATCTTCTGCTTTGAAACAGATTTGCAAGTCAGCCAGGGTGTGAGTTTATGAACCTTATTGAAGAATGCATACATGTAGAATGTATCTTCAAATAACTTTCTTTGGTTTGCAGGTACAATTCTGGTGGATAACATGCTGATCAAAGGGACTGCTGGAGGACCAGACCCAACCATAGAACTCTCTTTAAAGGACAACGTGGATTACTGGGTATTGTTGGATCCTGTCAAACAAATGCTTTTCCTGAACAGCACAGGCAGAGTTTTGGATAGAGACGTTAGTACATTTTTTTTTTCCCCTTTGCCCCTCTATCACAACTCTATTATAATTTAAATATTTGTATGTGTTTGTTAGTATATCAAATTTTCATTGTATAATTTGAGTTTATTTTCAATGTTCATCAACAAAAACATTTGTTTAAAAACTCCTTGAAAGAAAAATTTAGAGAAGAGCTAACACCTATCTTACTCAAACTCTTCCAGAAAATTGCAGAAGAAGGTAAACTTCCAAACTCATTCTATGAGGCCACCATCACCCTAATTCCAAAACCAGACAAAGATGCCACAAA